GTGCAATTATTGTAGAATTTAAACAAAAATAAAAATTCAAAACCTAAAAGGCATGTAGAAAGCATTTTTTGGTGGGAGGGGGGGGGGGTGCAGCCATGCATCCATTTACAGGTTTGGGTACTATTAACTGCCAAAAAATTCCTGGAATCAGACTTCAGAGTTCATCAGAAACAGCAATATTGTAGCTACTTTTTCCATAGTTTTCTATATTTCGGAAAAAATTATTGGTTGGAATACCCGATTCAATCCCATAACCCCCACCCCGTCCCTGTGACCGGATTTCCTTTATCTATGCTGAATGGAATCAATAAAGCGGTAATGCTTTAATTTATTTTGCCTTGTAAAAAAGAAAATATTCTGAGGAGTTTTATCTCTCTTATGCCACAATTTGTCATTTAAACTAAATGGAAAATGCCTTTTTTGTTCCGATTTATTTCTTCATTATCACCCCAACCCGCTTTTCAAGCGGGGGTGTATACAGTAATCGGGATGTGCGTCCGTCTGTCTGTCCGTCTTTTACGCTTTGGGGTAGCCATTTTTTATCCGAAACTCCCCTTGTACCACTGAATTAAATCTATGGAGACTTTGAACTTTCAAATCATCTGTATTACATAATATCATTGAGCACCTCCTTTTTTATTTTTTGATTCGATTCATATTTTTGGTTTCCTGTGGCAAACTATGATGGACGCTGCCATTATATTGTTATTAATGACGTGAGGTGCGATGGGTTCTGAATAACATGGGACACAGCACCCTATTCCTCTTTACACGTTACCGTAAAACGAAATACAGATTTTTGGGTTCCCATAGCAAAACATGGTCTTGATATTGTAATCATATGGGAGGCGGCGGTAACATTTTGTGACTGTGAGATCATTGCTCAATGTACCTCTAGTTTGATATTGTTGATTGTTTTATTATTCAGTGGGAGTTCCTAGAGAAGTACTACAATGGGACCAGGAGGCCAGAGAGCGGTATGTGGAGTACGCTAAGAGAGGAACACAGACAGTTCACCACGCCCGGGGGATGATTGTAGGATGTGCTGGGGCGGGGAAAACCACGCTACTTAAACGTCTGCTTGGTTGTAGTGAAGAAGAGATCAAGGAAGTAAAATCTACTGAGGGATTGGAGGTGCATGAGGAAATATTTCATATTTGTGAAAAAAATCAATCATTAAGAGGTAAAACATGACTTTTTATTTTGTACGATATTTTTGTTTAACAAATGTTTTAAAAATATATAACTAGACGCTGAGTGTTTGAGTACATTATATTTAATAAAACACAGGTTGTACAAATCACAAGGCGCAGGTACATGTACGTATAGCATTTGTATCAAAGGGGGATATAACTTACTATCAAAGCACTCGTTAAATATTCAGCTGCTATCAATCCCTTTTTATACCCTCCTTCCGAAGGCAAAAGGGGCTGTACTGTTTGACTTTATTCTGTCCGTCCGTGTGTCCGTCCAAAAGACACTTTAATGAAAGCGAGGGGACATTAGATCTCATTCGTCTGTCAGTCTGTCTTTCAGTCACAAAAACTTTAACATTGCTCAAAACTTTTGATTTAGTGGAGCTATGACTTTCATATTTCACATGTGTATTCCTAGTGACAAGACCTTTCTCTGGGAACAACCAAATTTGACCTTTTGACCTTGACCTTGGAGTTTTACCCATTTTTACACAAGAATTCCAAAATTTTACTTTGGCCATAACTTTTGAACGGTAAACACTAGGGCTTTCATTTTTCACATATGTATTCTTTTTGGCAAGATCTCAAGATCTAATACCACAACTTTGATCTTTTGACCTTGAAATTGGAGATTTCTGTACTTTAGAAAAAACTTTAACCTTGGTCATAACTTTTGAATGGTAAGGGCTAGGGCTTTCATACTTCACATATGTAATTATTGTAATGAGACCTCTCATTGGATACCAACAACTTTGACCTTTTGACTTTGAACTTGGATATTTCCGTACTTATGAAAAACTTTAACCTTGGACATAACTTTTTAATGTTAAGGGCTAGGGCTTTCATACTTCACATATGTAATCATTGTGAGAAGACCTTTTATTGGATCTGAAGAACTTTGACTCTTTGACCTGACCTTGGAGTTTGGCCTACTTTTTAAAAACTTTAACCTAAGCCATAACTTTTGAACAGTTCTGGTAAGGGCTTTCATACATCACGTATGTTATACTTGTGGTAAGACTTTTTAAAAGAAACTACCAACATATATAATCTATTTTGTCATACGGGGTAATCAGGTTCACTTCCTTATAACTTTTGATTGAGAAGAGAAAAGACTTTCAAATCTGACATGTGCATGCATTACTTTTGACTAGTTTTGACACAGTATGTTACAAGAAACATATTGACGCAAGCGTCAAAAAAAACGGCCGCAAACCAATTAATTAATTCTTTCATATAATAAATTAGAAACTGAATTCTTATATTTACCTGTTAATTAATATATATCCCAGTGACATTAAACATTTGAATGCGACATCCCAGGATTTTCTTCAGTACATAATACGTGTACATTGCTATATGTACAATGTATTTAAGCAACTTACTCATAGCCCTTTGCGTCCCCGCACCCAGTAAAGTTAATTGGTACTATTAACGAACTCTGGCGGAAGTTTGATGTTTAAGTAGTTTTAACACTTAACCATTAAAACTAACGTTTAAACTTATCTAACTAGAAATAGTTTAACATTAAATAAAACGTAACAAGTATATGGGTCTCATCGTTCGCTCAGAGGATGTTGAAACCCCCAACTCCCTCTAGATCCGCCACTACATTGTTTTGGTGTGAGATGTGGCGGGAAAAGGCTTGGCATGTTGTAAAACGCGCTTTATCCTTGTCTGTTGGAGAAAAATCTCCTAATATTCTGTCTGATAATAAATAAAGATTAACTCATGATTTTGAAAAAAAAATCCGTATTAAAAGTACATTGTATATTTATATTTACACGTCATTTTAAATTATATATACAACAAATCCTGTCGAAGTAGAGAAAGTAAAATTTGTTTAGACATGCAAATAACCCGGTCCTTGCTTTAGACTATGCCCAAACTGTGTGCTCATTTATCCGCACTTCAGTTACGTCGGAGTTTGTCAATCAGGATTGGATAAAACATTTAACCCATTTTTCATAAAATTTTAATTTGATTATTATTATGCGTTTATAATTTACATTCAAACACTCTTTCTTAATATTTATTACATGAATGTGAAATATTTTTTATTCAAATTGTTCTCTAACTCCGCAGAAACGCACGGCGACTTAAAACTTTCATATCATATAACCGACCGCCTCCTGGCGGCCGGTAATAAAAAAAAATGACATCCCACCCACAAAGACACTAAAAGCGGGGGACCACAATTCTTTGAATTTGCTTGTTAGTCACAGTTTTCTCAGCAACTAGAAATCGTATATGCTTTTAATATCTTTGCAAATACTTAGCTATTTATTCCAATGTCAAATTTCTCTTTATCTGTGCGTCTGTCCGTGCCATTTATAACTTTTCATCACAGTTATTTGACAAAATTATCATTGCAGAAGCTTGAAATTTTAACTCATCCTTTGCTGAAACAAGCCATATGGGGGATTTTTTTTTAAATATTAGTGTATAATATTTAACATGACAGTGTTTACCCGATATTGACATCAAATCAGATCGGGGTTATTACTTGTGAGCATTGACTGAAAGTCTTGTTATTTCGTTTTAAATATTTTTCTGTTAACCCCCATCAATTAAAAAGAAGACATCCAGGTTACTTTCGCTCTCTGTTCATACCAACTGTCCTAACAAGCACGTTTGGATTATTTTTAGTCTGAAATATGTATTGCAGAGGCTCCAAGGGTGAAATTTAAGCATAAGGTTTTAAAAGAATCATTATTTAATTAACAGATCCCCGGCGGTGAGTCAGTAAAATTCGGCAAAATATAACGAAAACAGAGATTGAAGCGAGGAAGGGGTCCAAAATGGCGTCCTCCCTTGTGTAGTTTTATAGCATATCATTTTTTAATAGATATTTTTTACACGCCAGTAGCAAGTCCCTGTGTTTCAAGCAGGAAATACCCACCATAAACATAGTCCTTTACGTAGCTGTATCTATATTTAGACATAACGAGGATATTTAAATGTCCATCTCGATATGAATGGGGATAATCGCGAGTTTCTGCAACACCCTCTTTGTGAAAGCGCAAGGATGTGTCAAGCAAACCCGTCCGGAAATTTGAAGTTATGATAACTTTTTGACGAAATGTTATATATATTTTTTTAAATTCCGTGTGAAATGCTTTACCAATATATAAGTCGTGATATACTACAGAAAAAATTCAAAATATTAAATTCAAAACGTTTTGTATGTGAACCTTTAAAAAAATGATACACAAAAATATCTGAAACAATCGTTCGAAAGACAATATTTTATGTTGATAAATTTTGGCTAGATCAGTGATTTCGATTAAGATTCATTTTTTTAATAAGTATACAATCTAATATGTATGTAAGATATAAATTTAACATAGTTTAGAAGTTTATAAGGCTTTTATCTCTCGTCTTCTATTTACTCCTTATTATCATTCTATTCAAGCTCTACATTATCTCTGATTACCCCTTATCATTTGTTTGTTTGATTGTAGCGTCTGTTTGAGAATATTTTAATTGAGGCGTTACATGTACAACGTGCAAGTGGAAAACTGTAAAGTATTTTCATGGTATACATGTATTTACAGAAATAGATGTTTTTCGTGCGAGTACCTACTGTACCTACTCGGTTTAAACAGTCTTATTTAAAAGAAAATGGGATACCGTTGACGCAGTCCAGCGCAAACATTTAACAAATTTTACAATAATGCGAATCATCCCTAGCTTATGATTTGCAGAATTTTCTCTTAAGTTGCTAAGTAAACGATAATCTTCTCTTAATTCTGCATGTGTTGGCCTGTCCGATTAATCGGTCGGAACGATTGCAATCGGTTAGAAAATCTGTAATCGGTTAGTCGGAAAAAATAAAATATATGTAAAACTGTACACAATTTTCTTAAAATTCGTTTGAAAAAATAATTTTCTGCACAAAGGGTTGATAATTTAGCGTTTAACAAAATCTTTTAAGCATTTTACCCCGATAGTACTGCAGTTTTTTTTTTTATAATTACAAATGAATCCCTCTATGCTCTGTTAATTGGTATGTTTTTCGTTTTCAGTTATCTATCCAGTTAAAAAAAATGAAGTTAATTGAACAGATTTAGCTTTAATCCGCTTTTGTGACGATGCAAAAAAAAAATATATATATTTTACATCTGCTCTAGAAGGTATCGGTGATTTTTCTAAGCCTTTTTCGTGTTTTTCTTAATTTTTTCTTGTGCACTAAAATTTAAATAAAAAAGACCTTTATTTTTGTCATTCAGACAAATTAAACTTTGAAGTTTCGTTATATACAGTATTTTTGTGCATACGAATACAGCTACATGAAAAAAATGTCAAAATGTGTATTTTTGAAACGATTAACCGTTTAATCGGTCGGAACGTGTTGCGGTTAACCGATTAACAATTCTGTATTCGACTGCCATCCCTAGTAAGAACTGATAATGATAACGAAAAGAAACATAACTTTTTTATAAACGTGTCATATGAAAAGAAATTATCTATTATAAAAAAATGAATTGATTTTCTTGTTTTTTTTTTACATTTAAAAAATCCAGGATTTCTTCATTTTTCCTTTTACCTGAAATACACTATTTTCAGAAAAATATATAAGAGTATTTAAAGAATATTTATGACTGTGTTATTTACAGGAAAAATAAAAGATAGGAAAATGTGTGAGAAGAATGGAGAGAGAGAGAGTGAACCTTCAGATAAGACTTTGACTTTCTTTGACTTTGGAGGGCAGTGTGCTTACTACGCTTGTCATCAGATTTACCTCACCAGGAGAGCCTTTTACATTGTGGTTGTAGACGCCTCTAAAGACCTGGACCAGGTGGTAGATAAGGAGGTGTGTGACCAGACGGACACAGTATTTTCTGGATGGACATACAAAGGTATAATCTTATTTTACTACTCTACCGTTTATAAATTTCATCTGAAAAATGAAAATCATCAAAATTTTGAATTGTAATTATTAACAACGTAAGACAGCAAGAATGTGAAAAGCATTTAA